CATGGTTGGGGCATATCCATACTGTCAGAATGATGGCATTACCCCACATATTATATCTGTTCCGCACTATCCCAGTACAGCTTCCAGACAATCTTTTTAAAAGAAATTCCAGTCATTCTTTAATGCATATATCTGGACGAAATAACCTCAGAAAATAACTAGGCAACTAACATGGTTACCAACGATTAAAGGAGGCCTAGGAATTCCTAATGTTAAAATGTACTATAAAGCATCTGTACTAGCACAAGAAGTGGAGGTCTTGGCCCGTCCTAACCAACCAATATGGCTACCATTACAGAATGCTTGCATCTTCCTTAACACCTTAGATCACATGTTGTGGTCTTTCTCGCAGATGGGTCATAATGCAGGTAACAAGCTATGTAGCACCACCTTCTTATTGGAGAGCTGGAGGAGATGGGCTAGTAATCTGATAGGACCACAGAATCTCCTATACTTTGCCCCCATGACAACACTTAACACTATAGCCCAGGACATTCCATTAGGGTCATGGATCCATAGAGGAATAACAACCGTTAGCATTTTTACATTGCAATGGACCTTAAACAGTTTCCAGACCTACAGAAAGAGTTTTCCCTCCCATCTAAGGAACTATTTACGTATATTAGAATAAAGTACCTTGCACACTTTGCCAAAATAAGATTTTGCACTGAATCACAATTAACGACTTCCGGTCATGGGTGCATACGCAGAAGTACAACACTTAAAACACTTTCTCCCTGTTATCATGCCCTTAATAATGAGGACAAAAAAGCCAAACACCCGTGTATGTTGATGTGGAAAAAAGTTGGAAAACCATTTCCTCTACCCTTATGGCTGCAGCCATTACAAATGACACGTATGTCCTCTCACAGCCTTTCACACTGGGAGGCATATTGCAAAATACTAATAAGATGGTACTTTGTCCCCTCCAAATTAGCTAAGCTATATCCCACAGCCTCTTCCTTCTGCTGGAGATGTAAGCACCATTTTTTGGGAATGTATAGATGTACATGCAAAAGAATCTTGGGCAATAAGAGTGTAAGTGGTATTGTATATTTTACTATTATATTATGGATATATTGTCATGAATACTCATGATACTGTAAAATGTATGAACTCGCAACTGCACCTTGTTGAAATACATATTCATGTATATGTACCTTGATAATTGCTATTCTGATGTGTTACCTTGAAATTCAATAAAAATTGAAAAGAAAAAAAAAAGAACAAAATCCTTGACTGAATGTATAAAAGTGTATAAATCACATTGTAATGGGCAAATGCAAATATTACACGTTTTAGAATAAAATGTTGTATTTCTTAAACTGTGTACTTTGTCCTTAAGAGATATTGCAAACTGACAAGGTGTTAGAAATGGAACATATTGTTTTTCATAACTGTTTCTTTAACCTCGGTGCATAATATGTTTGCGCCATTTTGTCCCAGACGAATTACAATAACAATAATGCATAAACAAGCTTCAAGGCTATGCTACGACTCTTTCAGTACACAATATACTGTGGTAACCTTAAGTAGATAAGGATGTCCAGACTTTAAGATGCTATCTTGAACTAAGTCAGGAAAACTTCCATGGCGTATACACCCTTTAGTTATGGTCTTGTATGTTTGTCAAGTTAAGGGAGATCCTAAAATGAATAAAGTAAAAGAAGTGTTACTTTTTCATATATGAACTACGGTAACCCTAAAATGGAGACACCTAAGGTATAAATAGGTGTACTTTTAAATGTTAAGACACAGAGGAGAGACTTGGAGACTGGCGCTGCTCCTTCTTAAAATGACAGAGAGGCTGACATGATGACATGTTCAGAAGGGTATGTTAACCTATTAATGAAATTTGCAAGCATTTAGTTTAATCTTATAAACTCGGCTATAATGGATTTTATATGTCTATATTTATATAATAAATATCTAAAAAGACAAAACTATTGCTTCCAAGACAATCCTTATTTTATATTGTATTCTCAATTATTTATATATGTTATATGATATCTGTATGGTTAGCCCTACTAAATTCTATGCTTTAAGACATTATAGTGGTAAATAAGGGAACCACCTGCGGTTACAACATTAACAAAAAATATGTAGTTAGGTAAATGTTTATTTTGAAATGTGGTATACATTTTTTTTTTTTTGAGTCACAGAAAGAAGTATTTTAATTTAAAAAGAAAAGAAATAGACATGTTCTAATCCTTATTATTTACACTTTGTTTATATGTAGGAGAGGTTTACTGGATTTTACTGTGATAAATGTGCAGATGAACATGTATATAACAAAGAATGTGATGATGGTAAGTTTATATCATAAGTATGCCTTACTAAATTTTGTATATTTTTATTAAAATATAAATATTGTATAAATACTTTTAATCAGGGATTTGATTAAGGAGATTGCTTAAACTGTTTTAATTGTATCTGTTCCAGTTTGTGAATGTAATCATGGACTATGTAAGAATGGGGTCTCTGGAGATGGGAGTTGCATCTGTGAAGCAGGATACGCAGGAGCGAAATGTAATGAAGGTAGGTCGAAAGATGTTTGAGAATATGTTCTTACTGCATAAAAAAAATTGCCTTTCATTTTTCATTGTATTTCTTTCTAGATTTGTGTGTGCATATTCTTTTCAATTAGTTTTTATTGATAATTTTTTATAAAACATAATATAATTTTGAAACAAACAAATAATGAACATAACAAGATTTAAAAAAATAAAATAATAATTTAAAAGAAAATGTAAAAAATGAAAAAAAGTTGAAAGGTGTCATACCTGGTGTCCCGCGCCATCCCGGTCCCGCCGTCCGTCCTCTCGGGTGGTGTGGATCGCTGGCGGGCGTCGGGCGCGCGCACATCTGGGAGAGCGCCTGGGGACGTGCGCGCTCGCACAAGGTAGCCGGCAGGGATATCATGGACTCCAAATTTAAAGAGCTAGTGGCCTATTGCCACTATCTATTTATACCTCCTTTAATTCTGTCCCTGCCTATCAGCATTCACCTTGCCCTATATTAACCTCCTCCTGACATCACTTCCTTGCCCTGTCGTGGTTTATTCTAGCCCGAGAGTGTCTTTTCTCTGGTTCCTGACTTCGGCTTGTTTATTGGTTATTCTTATTTCTGGCTCCCTGACCTTGGCTCTGTCTATTTCGTTTTCCCGTATCTCTGTAATCCTGACCTTGGCATGTTTGACTATTCTTATCTCTCATTCCTACGTTAAGTCCGGCCACTTTAAGGTCCGGTAATACGTCTATCTGTGTTCGCCTTTGTTCTCTGGTTTGCGTGTTGGGGAGTATAACCTTGACAAAAGGGAAAAAGAAAAAAATGAAAATTGGGGGGAGGAAGGAGGTCCATCATATCTTTCAACTCACAAAACTAACAAAGGGTTATTCACTTAGAGCAGGGATCAAGAAATTCGACCCTTCAGATGTTGTTGACTACATCTCACTTTATGCTTTGCCAGCATTATTGCTGTAAGAGCATCATGGGAGATGTAGGCCAAAAGTTCCCCACCCCTGACTTAGAGCAATATTCCAGATTTATAAAGTACTTTGACTGGTGCCTGTCACGTTTGTGACAGTTTATAAAAGTGCTGATTTCAAAATAGACTTTTATAACTGGGTGCAGAATACCTCCCTGACTGCCAACCAGACAGCCAGATAGGCTTTTCTATCACATGTTAACTCCACTAGCATGCCCGCCCGCCTGCCTTCCCTTCTCCTCAATGAGGTGTATTATAGATAGTGTATTATAGATCACTCAGAAGAACTGGAAAACTGCAATTGCATGTGCATGTGCTGCCAGCTCAGAGGCTTCATAATGAAGGGGGGATTGCAAACAATGCAGACAAGAGAGGTATACTCCCAAACAGTGGTGGAACTCCATGTGTTGCGGCCCTGGCACGCGCGCTAGAACCGCCAGGACTGCAAGTTAAGGGGCCCACCGGGTGGCCCATGCTGTTAGGGCCACCCGATGGCAATGAATTTCCAAGGGGCCCGGTCAGCACTGCGGCACTTTAACAGCGCGACCGGGCCCCTTGCGATCACATCACAGCTGGGAGGAAGTGACTGCCCAGCAACCACCGGAAGACAGCCACTAGAGGCTAAATTAACCGAGAATGTAAACATAGCAGTTTGCTCTGAAACGGTTATGTTTGCATCTGAAGGGTTAAAACCTGGGGGACATGGCACCCAGACCACTTCATTGAGCTGAAGTGATCTGGGTGACTATAGTGTCCCTTTAAAGTTTATAGTTGAAATGCTCAAAGAACTTTAAAGGGGCCAAAAAGGATGTCATTGTTTTTAAATTTATTATAATGTTAACAATATATGCAATTAAATAATTAAATCAAACTTACTGGTCTCAAAATAAATCAATTAAGTTGATTTTGTGATGATGCTTATGCTTAGAGTGACCCATTAAATATATATTGAATTGTAAGAGAGATTGTCTCTGCTACATGTGAAACAAACATCAGGACACCTTGCATTTTACTCATAAGAGTCACCTGAAATTTCTAGAATCGAAGCACTATATTAAAATGTTTTTTTTTTCTAGAATCTTTTTCCTGTAAAGCATTAAAGTGTGGGCAGAATACCCGTTGCATAGAAATAAAAGGAAATCTTCAATGTCAGTGTATGCCCGGCTATATTAAGAAAGGAAACACTTGCCAACGTAAGTCATTTGATGGACCTGTGTAATTTTGGTGACATTAAAAATGTCAAAATATGTCAGAATTTATAGATTCTGTTAAAATAGCCTAATATTACAGTAACCACTTATGCATGGGTGACTGTGCCCTATACAACGACCATTAAAAAGGCTTCCAGGATGTTGGTGAGACATCATAGATTTAGCACTGTAAATGTCCCCCATGTCTTTTCCACCATTTTTTGTTTTTAAATTTAATCCCAGCCTCCCTACCTTTGGGAGTGCTGAGGGGATTCCAGATTTCTCTGGGGTCCAGTGGGCCTGCAGGTGACGAGGGAGCACTGAGCACTCTCTGCCCAGCTCCCTCGCGCGACGCTTACTGATACCGGAGCCGGAATTACGTCATATTCCGGCTCCGGCATCAGTGAGGTGCGCGTGAGGTAGCTGGGCAGAGAGCGCACAGGGGAGAATGCTCCCTCACATGCCAGTCATGAGGTGGCCAGCTCCTGGGACCCCCAGGAGAAGAGGCTGGAAAATGTGGCCACACTGGCATACATACCTGGTCGCAGGGTGGCCGGGCCCCCGCGGTATGTACGCCAGTGGTTCCTACAAGCTATAATACCATATTGAAAGGCAATCACAGTGGTCTTATGTCATGAGACAGCTGATACCCAGCTGCAGATCAGCTGTGAATGGACTATTGATTGCTGTGACACAAGTGGCGGAGTCTAAACATTTTTACTGATTAGCTTCCAGGCTGCCTTGTCACCCAGGGAGCCAATCACAATAATCACTTCCCTTACCTGTCAGTTAAAGCAATCTGATCACTGTGATTGATCTCACAGTTAACACATTAAAATGCAATACAAAATATTGCATCAGTCAAATAATAATAATAATAATAATAATAATAATATACCAGCAAAGTCTGAAGGCAATACTGAACAGTAAACACATTAAAATACAGTGCAAAGTCCAAACCAACCAATAAGAAAAGAAAACGATGAAACAAAGAATAGGGGGGAAAATTGCAAGGACAAGATAGAGAGAGAGGGTCAAAGGGAAAAAAACACAGCTGCAACAGGTAAGGACAATACATCCTTCTGTGTCTTTCACAAAATCATGAAATAGCAAAATCATGGAGGCTCATACTGTGCAAGTTAGAGTGACATCAAACTAAAAGGAAGGAAAGAGCAACCAAACACCCCTTGTACAGAAACCATTACAGAGAAATCAGCTAAATAACACGTACAGTGCCTACATATAATGATCTGCACCTATACAAGCACGTTGCCTAATACATACATCCATACACACACATACTGCCCAATGCATACATCTATACACACATATTGCCTAATACATACATCCATACATACACATACTGCCCAATGGATACTTCTATATACACATATTGCCTAATACATACACACATATTGCCTAATACATACACCCATACACACACACTGCCTAATACATACACCCATACACAGATGCTGCCCAATACATACATCTTTACACATATATTGCTTAATACATACAACTATACATGCACACTGCCTAAAACATATACCCATACACGCACACTGCCCAATACATACATCTTTACACATATATTGCTTAATACATACAACTATACATGCACACTGCCTAAAACATATACCCATACACGCACACTGCCCAATACATATACCCATACACAGATACTGCCCAATACATACATCTATACACACATATTGCCTAATGCATCCATCCATACACACACACTGCCTAATACATACACCCATACACGCACACTGCCTAATACATACATTTTACATGAAATACATGTATACACACAATGTCACTGACACTAACACACACTATTATTTTTAAGTATACATACACTGTCGCAAACTATTATTAAGTATACACACATAACACACTCTCACTAACACACAATATTAAGTATATTTACGATGTCACACACTCTTATTAGCACACACTGTTATTAAGTATACACACAATATCACTGACACACTCATTAACACACACTCTTACTGAAATACATACACACACTCACAATGTCACTCACACCAGTTTACAGTCACACTTTATTTACACATACACAAACCTACACAAAATAATCAGCCCCCCAAGGCTCCATGTGTGCCACACCTGTGCGGTGGAGGAGGAACCATTCTCCAGCCTGCAGAAATTCTCCCCTTTCTTCTGCTGTGGAGCAGGAGAGCAGTGCACAGTGAAAACAGCCTGCTTCCTGCTCCCTCCAATGTGTGTCAGTGTTTACAGGCAGGGGGTAGCAAGGATACCACGTCATGTCCTGGCTTCCCATGCCTGCAGGATCCATCTACTCAGGGGCTGGGCTCACAGTAACATCGAGGGAGCCCAGCTCAGCAAGCAGTAACTTCACTTTCAATTGGGGGGCACTGCCTGATCTATGGGGGGCCATGGCCCCTTCTCCCTAGCAACACCTCTGAGTCTAAGGAAGTAGCAAAGAAAAAGAAAGTATAGGGGTGATAACATTAAGGAGACTGTAGGGTAACAGAAACATACATGGAAGGTCCTTCAAGATACAGAGCTGGCTTCTACTAGTAGAGTAAAGTTATGCTCTGCTTACAGAATAGCACAAATGGCCTGTTGACCATAAAATAAAACATTTGTACAGTATATGCTGCTATGGTTAGCCACAAAATGTGTATTTGTAAATAAAGCCATGAAATGAACAATTAATACTTAACCCCTTAAAGACACATGACGTGTGACGTCATGATTCCCTTTTATTCCATAAGTTTGGTCCTTAAGGGGTTAAAGTGACTTTTTTTTCCTATGATTTAAACTTCTTAATACGTTTTCATTTTTAGCCAAGGATCCCTGTAAACCATCGCCATGTTCCATCAATGCTGACTGCACAGTATTGGGTCCAGGCCAAAGTCAATGTACGTGTAAAGATGGTTACTATGGAGATGGTGTGATTTGCCCTGCTTTTAATCCATGTATGATTAACAATGGAGGATGCTTAGAAAATTCAACAAAGTGTACATATAGGAGTCCAGGAAAGGTGTGTCAATCATATATATAGTAATTTATATGCGATTCTATCCTAAAGTTTTCTATGGAAAGTAATATGTTGTTTTTTTATTTAATTATTTCATTTTTGTGAACCCAGTGTCCACATCATCACCTCCATCCACTCCATCAGCACCTACATTCAACTATTGCCTAATTGAAGGCTATGGGCTGTCAACTGCAATTAGGGCATTATTTGGCAACCGGTCTACTGATAAACATGCTGAAGTGTTAATAGTGTAGCACATGGATGCCCAACCTTTTGGCTTCCCTAGGCACCACATTGAGCGAAGTGGAGTTGTCTTGGGCCTCACATAAAATATATATTATAAGTAATTTATGTAATAAAACTTCAAAAGCCATTTTTTAAATTTTGTTACTTAATTTGTTTAGTAGATACCTCCCTTATTTGTTATCCTATTGGGGATTGCCATATTTAAGGATACCAAATTAGGGAGCTATCTAGTAAACAACTAAACATATACACATAACCACAGATTTCACCTGCTATTATCGGGCTTTTTTAAGATAAGAGGCAGCAACGATAAGAACCACTTATATATAGTTTTACCTATTTCGGATCTAAGTGTTCTTAAAGTGTTATAGTTCATTCCTGTTATACTTTTATGATTCATAAAAATGAGTCATAACAAAATAAATACAGTAGTGGGTAAAATATCTATTTATAAACCTAGATGTGGATTATATAGAGAAAGGAGAAATAAAATAACACAATGGGACATAGTATACTTCACAAGGTGAACTGGAAACACCAACAGAATTAAATAACCTACTGTATTTAGGTCACACTAAAGGGGATTAGATTTCCAAGCTCTCGTTAAAAGGGATGGAAGATATAAATATATTACAGATATGCAAACATCAAAACTTTGCCACTGTTTTCTGCTTCTTAAAAAAAGTATCAGTTAAAAATAGATATTCGAAGATCTTGCAGACTTTACTATGTCATAATATAGCACTGACCACCTCACTGATGGTTTATCAGTTATCTGCAGTTTTACTCAATAAAATAAAAAATGTGGGGTCCTCAAGATCCCGAAAACATAGGGTAGGGGTCTGACGTGTAGCCTCTACCCCATTTGTGGCAAGATGTAGGCTTATTAAATTGGGCCTTGGTGATGCCTACCTTCCTAGGCTGTTTACATGTGCACCTAGCAGGTGACCCAGGAGAAGCCCAGTCTCTGAGTCCCTTTGTGTGTGACCCACTCAAGGGGCGTCCAAGAGATGCCCAGTCTCCTTGGACAATATATTTGCCCCTATTAGGGTGCTAAGTTAAAACGAATTTTCCAAGTAGCTATGGTACACAAGCTCCAAGCTGCAATCCTAAAATGTCCCTAGAGAGAAGGGCCCCAATAAAAGAAAAAATAACTGTATGGGAAATAGTTAATATACACACCAACTGAAGTCTGTTTTGTATTTTAGGCTTAACAATGATAAATTTAAAACCATAATAAACTGACAAAGTTTTTAAAACAGAAAATAGAAATCACCCAAACCACAAAAAGAAGATATTAAAAAGAAATCACAGCAAAATCACATCCATATAAGTTAATTTAAAACTTAAGTGGCAACTGAGATAGGAAATTACTTTATAAAGGTCTTCCCTATGCTTTACATTCTCAGAAGAAGCACTGTAATTGGTTTGGGGATCACAGCAGTCAGATGCTGTGATCACCTTCTAACTTTTTTTCATACTTGAGTTTGTTGGGGGTTCATGATCAATGTTATTAGTTTGACGGGCTATTTAAGTGGTTGCTAGGACCATCAACTTTCCCCCTGATAGGGGCAATTATAAGCGGCCAAGAAGACTGGACATCTCCTGGGGTCATTAAAGTTACCCTTTGTGGCAGAAATGCCTTTGCCACATGTTCTTGGAGGGGCCTGTTTGCCAGTCTCCTGCCAAAAGACTATGGACCAGGTGAGCGACTGTAAAGACCCATATTTTATTCCCCCTACCAAACCGAACGCTAGCTCCCTGGAACTATTTTCGACACGAAGACTTTGCGGCTCCTGGTCGGTCCCCAGAGGTACTTAGCCGCGATTGTATGGAACTATTTTTGACATGAAGACTTTGCGGTTCCTGGTCGGTCCCCAGCAGCACTTAGCCACGATTCTATGGAACTATTTTCAGCTAGAGGACCGTGCGGTTATCAGTCAAATTATGACTTCCAAATTCCTGAACCCCTGAACTGATCGGTGTGATTTTTGGATATGTTGGTTACCCGGATCGGCTATCAGGGGATGTAAATTTTGTGGGGGCTTTGTGTGTTTGAAGGTATTTTTAGGGCTTTGTGGAAATGTATGTTTTCTGTGCCTGGAGATAATTGAGTTTAATACAGTACTTGACTCAATTATCTCCCAGGCACACAGG